CACAGAGTGAGACAAAGTTGAGAGCCCAAGAGGGAGATAAAGCCCTGATGACATTGTTTAAACCCCTGGATTAAACTGCCTGAAAGCGATACCTAGCTGTTGATTAATAAATTCCCTTTTTGTTTCAGCTTGTTTGATTTGGGTTCCTATAACTTAAAACTGAAACAGCCTTAATACAATCCTTCAGCACTAGGGCTGCGAGAGGAACATTGAGCCCATGGAAGGGTAGACCATGGCAGCGTCTACCTCCAGCCTGAGCCAGCAAACCCTATACCCCCAGCGCTTTTCTCCTGCTATGTGCTTCGACCGTCTTTGAGCTTCAGCCTATGGAGGGGAGCTCTCTCCTAACCTAAGCCCTGGCCCGGTGCCACTGTGTACATTTTTCCAAGCTCAAATTTGATAGCAGCCTTGAAAAAGGATGTTCTTGGCCCCAGCCACATAACACCCCAGGAAACAAGCAAGTGGGATCTGTCATGCGCAGCCTACAGCAAGCTCTCCTTGGAGACGGGAAGCAGGGCTTCTCAGGATGTAGTGCACATTAGCAAGGGTTCGACGCTCAATACTTGCCCCCATCGTTGGAGGTCCGCACTCCCTGACACTGGGATTGCAGAGACCTGGGACTTAAAATAGCACACCAGGCCAGGTCGATGCCTGGCAGGTTGGAATTGTCTTTCCCACTGCTCCAAGCTGCTGACTGGGAAACCAGCCGCGGCCACAGGGCCAAGAAGAACCTGAGTCTTCGTGTCCCTGGTTGGTATGCCCACAGCATCTGGGTTCTTAGAGCACTGTTCCACCCTGCCGTGGACTGAACTGTGTCCTCCCAAAATTCATTTGTTAAATCCCTAACTCCCAATGTGGCTGTATTTGGAGACAGGGCCTTCCGGAGGCACTTAAGGTTAAATGAGGTCATAAGTGTGGGGCCCTAACCAATAGCCTTGGTGTCCTTGTAAGAAGAAGAAAAGTTGAGAGAACTCTTTCTCCAAGCACACAGCACCGAGGAGAGGCTATGTGAGCACACAGTGAGAAGGCAGCTGTCTGCACACCAGGAAGAGGAATCTCACCCAAATCCCACCATGCTGGCACCCTGATCTCAGACTTGCAGGCTTCAGAACCGCGAGAAAATAAATGTCTGTTGTTTAAGGCACTCAGTCTGTGGTATTTTGTTATGACAGCCCAAGCCGACCCAAACACACTCCCCTCCGCCCCCACAGGAAGGCCCCACATACTCCCTTCTGTGGGAGTGGGGAAGTAATTCCTAGTGAAGAGTCCTCAGCTGTTACCATGTGCCGGGCACTGTTCTAAGCCCCTTCCATGCCTTAGCTCCCTGAATGGTATACAACCCTGTGAAGTAGGCAGCGTTGTAACCATCATACAGATGAAGCCACTGAAGCACAGAGAGGTTAAGGAGCCAAGGTCAAATAGAAACACTATGAAGCTGGATTCCAACCCCAGCAATCTAAATCCAGCACTCCTCAACTCTGAGAAGCTAAGAGATAAGGAGAAGATTGCCCAGGATCACCTGTGAGAATCGGCAGGCACGGAAGCTGTAGCCTTTCGGCCTGGCATTTGGACACCAGGCAACGCTGTGCTGTGGAATGAACTCGGGTCCCCTGGCTCCACACAGTCCACAGGAAGTGACCTGTCACTGTGGCCCTCCAGGGAGGTGTCCCTAGGGGACGTTTTCTATTCAGTGTCTGTGTGACTTTGCCTAAGTCATGCTGTGAAAATAAGAGGTGGATGACAAGCCTGCTCAAAACCCTTCTCGTTCATTCTGTGATTCTAAAAACACACAGTCACAGGCCCTCAGCGTGGGTGGTGCTGCCAGGGGAACTGTGTGAAATCGGTTCACCCCACGTGTCCCCCTCAAAGTGTGTAATCCTGGCTCAGGGCCTGGCACGGATTCCGACTTGGCCCCGAGGAAGGCAGCAGAATCTGCTTTCTGCCCAAACATCCCTGGGTGCTAGAGCTGAGGGTTCATCCCAGGCTCAGTCGTCCCCAGACTTTCCTGGGAGCCTTGTTCAACCCAGGTGGCCAAGTGCCCCCAACCTGGCCACGCCCCCAAAAGTCCTTATGTGAGGAGGCATTGAATCCTTCCAAGGCTCATCTTGTCTCCCGTGGTCTCCAGGGCCTGGGACTTCGGGTTGGGGGGAAATGGTGCGTTTTAGTCCCTGGGGGAACAGATTGAGACGGCAGCCCAGATACCCTGAGGGACCCACAAGGGCTTCTGGGGTCTCCCTGTGATGGCACCCAAGACCCACCAGGTGTCGCCATGTCGTCAGTGGGATGAAGGGTGACGGTGGAGATTTTTCTCTGGCACTGACCCTGGGGACTGGGAAACAAAGGCAGGACCCTAGGGGGAGCAGAGCAGTGGCCCCGTCCCCCAGCTCGAGGCCAACAGAAATACCCTTGAGAAGGCACATGTTATGGTCTGCGAGCCTGGGGACAGAGGTCTCCATCCAAGGCCTGAGATGAGATGAGTGTGGGGAGGAAGAACAATCCTCAGCCTGTGTTCAAGGCCGTGCCTTCTCATCCTAGCAGGCCACTGGGTGGCACTGGAGGCTCCCTCCACCCTCAGCACAGCCCTCTCCAGGAGCTCAGTGCAGCCTCCTGGGGCCCTGCCTGGAGCTATCCCCAGTCCCCACCCCGCAGAGGGGGTCAGCGGCCATGTAGACCGCACCGTGTAGAGAAGCAGTTTGCCTCTATCAGCTCCAGACAGCAGAGCCTCCAGGCTCCACCCCCAAGCCAAGCCGGCTCAAAGTCAGGCAGGGCTGGGAGGTTCTAACTGGTCATTTCTAGCCTCAACCTCCTGAGGGCATGTCACACAGAAACCAGCAGGCCCCGCCCCCGACACTGGCTTCCCTCCCACCCTCCTTGGGCCCAAGGAGGGAGACTGGAGGAAGCGCAC